CAAAACAAGTTACCAAGTGACAACAAGTCTCTTGTCTACCGTCCGCCCAAGGACCAGACTTGGAATTAATCACCTCCGTAGAAACCATATAATTCGTTAATCCCGCTTTGGGCTTACCTAAGCTTATGACTTGCAGACATGACTCCCCATCCCCTGTCTTAGTTTCATGAGTTTTTTGCTGGAAAAACACAGCACGACCAAAACAAAACAATCATCCAAAACGTGGGAAATAAACAAAGCAAAACAAAACGAGTAAATAAGTTTTTCAGCTAGTAAAGCCGAACCCAGTATCAGTTCATCTGGCGGGGCTGGGGTCCAGCACCCGCCCCAACCCCGTTTTTTGGGGAGTCCAGCACCATAGCATTCTTAATTTGCAGCTTCCTCCCTGGCCTGATCCTCCCAAATGCGTCTTCTCTACCTCATGTGTCCCACCTGAAGTCATGGCCTTCCCCATCCCCGCTTGAGTGCTCTCTCCTGTCTCATCCGGGTCCATGTCCTGCCCTGACCTCATCATACGTGTTGTGTTCTTGCCACCTCCTGATGAACTCCCCTCCGAAATCAACAATTTGCTACCGATATTAGGCTTCAAATTCCGTCCACTCGCTTTTAGCCACAGCCCAAATGGTTTAGTCAATGTTTGTCCCTCTTTTTCGTACAGAAAAGGACAGAATTTCTCAGCATGTCCAATAATTCCACAACAAAAACAGAAACTAGGGAGCTTCTCATATTTAAAATCTACCCAGTACCTTTCTCTCGTTCTCTTTCTTAGGGTAGTCCCAATATTTAAGGCTTTGTTTACGTTCATACGGACTCTTACACGCATATAAGCTTCCCTCTTTTTATCAAATTGTTTATAATCCCAGGTGACAAATTCACCCAGATGATTCCCAGTCCTTCATGTTGTTCCCAGATTTTCAAACTATACGGCACGTTATGAACCTGTACCCAGATTTCAAACTCATCTAGCGACACCTTAAATGGGATATCACCCGGTTTAATCGCTTTTAACACAATCAAATTCTGATCAAACAACCAGGGTCCATCATCCAGAACATGATTCATATCAACAGAGTGGAAAATTTTAAATAGATACCTCCGTTCGCCAATCTCTTATATTGAAATTCCTTTGCCCGGATGCCATAAATCAACCATGAACTCCCTGAAGAACGGAAATCGAATGACTTTGTCTGTGAGAATCGTCTCAACAACCGGAAATTCCTCCACCTTTACTTCATCGATCGTCGCTTCCGCTTCGTCTTCAATCAGCAGTTCGTCCTCAATTCCCCCAATTCCCAGAACTCCATATTTAAGAATTTAACTGAATGCGTTTAACTGCATTTATCAACTGCATTTAACTGCACAGTTATCTTCAAGAATTAATTTGAATGCGTTCCTGATTGAAGTTTTAGCTGAAATTTGGTATGAGTAAACTAGACTTGATGAATAAGATGCTCAAAAAATTTCATCAAAAAATTCCACCGGGAACCACCCCAAATCGTGATGGCCGGACAGAGCTTCCTATATAAGGACTTATTTGACCTTTTTATGAAAGTTTGAGGACCTATTTGACAGTTTTCCCTAAAACTATTTTACCAAAGAAAAAATGGAAGTACAAATCTATTGATAAGTCCATTTCTGTACTTATTTTTCTTATCAAATTTAAGCGATTTTTGATTGAAAATAGAAAGAAAAGGCATATTTTAGATATTTTGGTTCAAGTTTCATGAAATCAGGTGAAAATCACATTCATAATATATTTGCCGGAATTTCGGGTCGATTGAGCACAAAATGAGTCAATTTGAGTAACAAATGAAGTCATACCGGAAGAAGTAAGCATTTTATCAAAGTGATCCAGAAGACAATCTTGGAGAGCAGGAAACGCAGGAACTACCAGACAAAATTGGCAGAAGGCGCCCAAATAGGCGCCCAAAATGGCCGCCTGGTTGGCCGCCTGCGGGAAAAATCAAAAGTCAACCTCGCTTTGACTCGGAACCAGGAAAAGACCGAAGGCTGCCGACACGAGGAAGAAGGCGGCCGCCCTCGGTGACCGCCTGCGGCACAAGGGTACGAAACCAACCACCGGCCGGTGAGAATCGACGGCAGGCGGCCAGACAGGAACGGCAGGCGGCCGCCTGCTGGACCGCCTGCGGCGGCCGGGATCCGCCGCGATCCGATCTGCCGGAGAAAAGACGGTAGGCGGCCAGATTTGAGGGAAGGCGGCCGCCCTCAGTGGACGCCTGCGGCTGACGGAGACCAGCGCACGTCGGTCTGCCGGCGACTTGACGGCAGGCGGCCAGATGCTGCCAGAAGGCGGCCGCCTGCTTGGACGCCTTCGGGATTTTTTCTGCTATAAATAACAGGCTTTTTCCTCATCTCAAACACACCATCTCTAACCCTAAATCAGTTCTAAAAAGGCTTCTTCTTCTTCCATTTTCGAGCTCCAAAGGTCTTAGAGAGAGAAACTTCAAATCTTCATATCTTCTTCATTTTAGCTCCAAATTGTAAGTTCTTTATATGTATTTTCATCTTCTCAACGTGTAGAATCTGAATCTGTGCTTTGTTTCTTCGATATGTTCTTCGAAAATTTCCAGATTATTTTTCAAGTATTTCGCATTTCCTTCCAAAAATTAAATAAAATAGTTATTGATGTTGAATTCATTCCAATTAATTATATAGTTGTTCACTAGCCTCTAGGTAGTTATTTATCTGACGAAATTTATTTTTCACGAAGTAGAAGTTATTTTTAATTAATTTCGGTAATTACTTGATATTATTGCTTAAATTAAAATAAATACTCAAAAAAGGAAAAAAAAAATTAGTTCGGCCTTAATTTCAGTTTAACTCATTGTTATATCACTACCAGTAGTTAAAATAAAATTTATAACGAAGTTAGAGTATTTTTAGTTGCTTTTTGCATTTTCTAGTTAAAATTGGGAAAATCATCAATTAGTTGCTAAAATTGGATCTTAAATTTATTAATTCGTGAAAACTTCCAGAAAATTATATTTTAATTCCTATAATTTTATTGTCCCAGAATATAAGTTTTGTTTGAATTTTTGCTATCATCCATGTTTAATTCCTTGTTAATGTTGAATATACTCATTATATTGTTAGTTGTAAAAATGATGTTTAGTAGCTAAATTTGTTTTGGGCATGAATTGAGAAAAGGAATATGGATTGACTTGTTGACCTAAAATTAGGGGTTAAAATTAATAAATTGGACTAGTTGTTTAAAATGATGAAATAGTAATTAATAATAGTTAGCCATTTTCATTAATTAAATTCTTGGAAAATTAATTCTAACTTGTCTATGAGATTAGAAATTAATTTAAGCCAACCATATTTGAGCACATTAATAAGGCCTAGAAATAGGATAATTTAATGAAAAAGATTTACATCTTGTCTATGAGAAATAAATTCAGTTGCTAAAATAAAGAGTTTAACTAGTTAATGAATTTGGCTATTTTTATTAATTAAAATATTGGAAAATTATTTCTACCTTGTCTATGGGTTTAGAATATAATTTAAGCCAACCATTTTAAACACATTAATGACACCTAGAAGTAGGATAAATTAATGAAGATAGTTTCTATTCTTGTCTATGAGGAAAGAAATTATTAGTCCAACCTTAGTCTTAATTTCCCTAATTAAGAGGTCCAAGAACATATCCATTTCTAATTACTCAATTCATTGCCCTTATTTGCATCAATCTTTAGAACACTTAATTTTTGAACATTAATCTTTAAATTGATCCTAGCTCTTACTTATAAACTGGCATAATTTAGAACACAACCACTTTCCTATATTGAAAAAGCTTCCAACGATTAGCGATAGCCCGTGACTAAAATTAAATTAAGAAACTTCTCCGCCATTCCTCAAGAGACACGATACTCGGGGAAAAACCGAAAGGTTAGACTCCGTTTTACTACAATGCCGCGAAAGCGGTTATCATCTATTTAAACCAAAAATAATTCATGTTACATATGAGTGAGTTTTGTTTCCTTTCAAATTTTAGAGATTCTTTCGATAGTAAATTTGAAATTCTAACACACATATCCAAATAATTATTCATTCTCATGTTATATATATTGTTTCACCAATATTTACCAACCCATGCTGTGATGTGCAGAGAAAATTAACTTAGGCACACTAGCTACATAAGTCCCCCCCCAACTATCACAATATCATTCATATTTATATTATTTTATGAAATTGGGGTCTGTTAAAAGAATTTCCCAAAATACTATTGAGGGAACAATACTAGTTAAGAGAACCGCCAACTCAAATGGTAGCTTAGGAAAAAAAATACCGAACAACGTAGCAAGTACAAGGCAAGCGAGATGAGAAAAATAGCCAGGGGCCCATTGAAATAAAATCTCCTGTTTTTTAAAGTGATACAACTTTTTTATTTTTACTCCAATTATTAAAAAAAACATTGTTAGGTCCCTGTTTTCTAGTCTAAAATGTATATGTATGGAAGACAGATCTGGGAATGAAGCTTTCCATTGATGGTGAAGGTTTTACAGAATGATGTGAAAACTTAGCGTAAAAACCTTACACGCAAATAGGCACTGCAGCACAGAGAATGTATTGAAAAGCTTAACCTACTCATTCCCTTAAGGCATATTTATAGCCTTCAGGGAAAGGTAGGTTTCACAATGATTGGGCTCTAACATTTAGGAGGCCTGATAGGCTCGTCCCGTTCCTATCTTTTCACCTATACTTTGGGTGTTAATTGTCTAATTTTTACAATTAATCGAGTGACTATTGGGGGTTTTGAGTGAAAATTTGTTATTTTTCGGTCCCGGTGGCATTCGTATTCAGTGTAGTTTTTTTTTTACACAATTTGACATTTTTGGAGTAATTTGATTGTAAAGTTACATGTTATTAGCAGTTGTGGTGAGTTGTGATTTTACAGGCAGAATTTGCGGTGAATAATATATTGTTTGGGCCGAATCATTTGCGGGTTACTTCATTAAGTGCAAAAAGAAGAAAAAGGAGAACGAGCAGCCCAAAATGAAAGATCAGCTGAGGTTTTTTCTCCAGGATAGCAGCCGCACCGATTCATTCATTTTTTTTCTACCAAAGCCATCAACGTTTTTTTTCTCTCCTTGGATTCGGAGGAAGAACCAGCCGCATAGCAGTCCCTTTCTTTCATATATGCAGCCGCACCAGGCAGAAATCAAGAAGACAGCAGTAGATTTTTTTCTCTCTCTTTTGCGCAGCAGCAACCATAAACCAGGGAGCTTCACTTTTCTTTCAATTTCTTCCGTTCTAGTTTAGATTTCAGCAAGTATTGTAAGTTGATCTTCATTTACGGTATTAGTTGTTTATTTTAGACTGAAATTCATGTTTTGTTCTTCTCCAGTTAATAACTTTCGAATTTCCCATTTAATTAAGTCATTCTTTTCTTTCAATTTTAATCAATTATTTATCTAGCTTCTCATCATGTTTATCAATGTTATTGTGATGTTAATTTTAATTATGAGTAGCTAATTTCATATAGGGTTTGAATTGGGGCTAGGGTTAATGGGTTCTTGAGGGTGTGAATTTAGTATTTTTTTTTAAATTCAATTAATTTTCTGGAAAATTGTATAAGATTAATCATAATTGTCTATATGAATTTGATCACCTCATATATGAATTTATGGATTTAATTCAATTCTTGTCTATGAGAAATTGAGTTGAATTAGCTCGGATCTTATACAAGCAATCTGATCTTAGAAATAAGTTAAGATTGTGATAATATGATTTTATTCTTGTCTATGAGAATTTACTTCATTTTCTATTCAGGAATAATTGAAAGTTAATTTACTTAATTCTAATCCGGAAAGAACACCCAGAACCCGAACCATCCAATTTGAACCCTGCTTTAATATCTAGAATTAATTTAATTATTGGTTTTCCTCTCTACTTATTTTTTCACTCGCTATTAGTTAATTTTTTTTAACCATCCAAAAAAAAATATTTATTCAGAAAGATTACCATGACTTGTGCTAGCCTGTGATCACGGACTGTATTTAAAACTTCCTTTTTGCCACTCCTTGAGAGACGATACTCGTGGTCTGGTTATTCTCCGGATTAGCCAACTACGTTTTACTCACTAAAAAAATACACCGATCAAGGCCCATTCCATTTTAGGCAAGAGAGCCTTTTCTAAATAAGGCCTATTCTATCAATAAATAAACTATTACAAAATGGCTAAGTAACATTGATCACAATATAAATGAAAATATCTCTAACAATCTCCCCCTTTGTGATCAGATGTTCTTGCTTCTTTTATTCTTCACTTCCGAGCTTTATAATAATGTTGTCTGAGATTGAGTGCATGCTCGTAGCTTCTGGGTGACCTTCTATCATTGATTTGCTTTTTGATGGCCTTCAGAATTTTATCAACTCTTTCTAGTTCCTTGAGTTTTTCCTTTGAGACTTCAGTCTGTCTTTTATCCAGTTCTTCTTTTCTTGGTTGCAACTGTTCCCGGATGATCTTCAGAGTCCCGTCACAGTATTTGCGAATGTCTTCAACGACCATCAGGCGCTTCTCCTCTTTGTGATTCAGATAGATGACTGAGACCGGATTGTCAAAGGTGTGGTATGCTGAGTAGAGTTCGAGTTCCGGTCTGTTCCATTCTGGTTGCGTGAGATTTGCCTTTGAATAGTTGTTTTCTAGGGCCATTTGAAGATCATGGGAAGCATAATATCGAACTTGTCTGGTCATAAATCTTTTGATAGCCTCAAAGCCTTCTTTAGCAATTCTGTCTTTATGGACTGGGAGTTGTCTGCATGCCATGAACATCTGATAGATGTCATCCATGTGTAGTAAGAAGAAGTCGTTCTCTTGGCAGGTGAACTCAGTCCCGTCAGTGCGTTGTACCTGGAAAGTATAGAACCTGATAGTCTCCAGATAATCTTTTGTTACCTTTAGAATCTTTGACACATGAGCTATGCTTGTTTCAAGATTATGATTCAGAATTCTGCGTTGTTCGCCTGTTGATCTTTGGTAAAGCATAAAGATGTGTCATCCTCTGTACTTTCCTTTAAAGTCGTTGAGTCCACGAATTTTCAGTTCACTGAATTTTATGAGTTTCTCTGGTTGACGCCATATCCGCTCTCGAATTTCCTCTAGAAAGGGGGCTTTGACTCTAAGAATTTCCAAGGGCTTTTTAATTTCCTTTTGCTTGGTGATTTGTTTCGGCTCCTTAGAATTTTCCTGATAGTTCTCCCCTTCCTTGATTTCATCTTCATCGAGCCCAATCATTTCAGCAGCACACTTGGCAATCAGTTCTCTGAGACGCACACTTCGTTGTATTTCATCTTGGTCTACTTCTGCTCTTAGTTCGTCCCACTCTGTCCATTGGCGGGGCCACTTGTCATAAACAAGAATTTCTTCAAGTTCATCGAGCGTTTGATCATCAGAGGGACTAGAGGCAGTTTGTTGCTACTGTGGCGATCTATCAAAAGTAACCCCGAGATCACTAGGATTGCCCGTTATCATCAGATTAGAACTAGGTTCTTTCTGATGGCCTGAATAAAATGGTGTACTCGAAGTAGCAACCTCAGGACTTCCACTCCATCCTTGGACAACACCTGTAACAGGTGTGTCTAGGAGTGTTGTGTCTAGCTCGACCGGGCTAGATGTGGGTGGATTGGCTGTTTGGCTTTTGTGTTGAGTGGATGGTGGGGGCTGATTGTTCGAGGATTTGGGTTGGTGAGTATGCGTGGAAGGTTGGTTTGTTGACGCATCACGCTCAAGTATCCGTTGCCTCTTGTTCTCCCCCTCATGAGGATCTGAATCATCGGGGTCCTCATGCGAACGTTTGTGACCACGGAGACTATCACGGCATGTGCTGTCAGGCTTAAGGATCCGAAGAAGGTCGTTTTGTTTCTGGGTTAGGTTGCCTTCTTCGGTAGCTAGCAGTTGTTCTAGCATAAGGGTTTCGAGTACCTCGAACGATAGAGTTTTCGGGTCGGGGAAAGGTGTGGTCGAAGTAGGGGAGGACACTAGTTCTGTATCCTGGGTTCCCCTTGAAGTGGTAGGAGTGGTAGGTTGGGTTGTGGAAGGTTCAGAGATTTGGCGGGTGGAGAAATGGGTAAATGGATGGGTTTGTTGGGTATGTGAGGATGATGGTTGGGGTTGGATGATGTCGTTTAGCAGCACCGGGGTGTTCCTGAATTCCTGTGCCCGAGCGGTTATTGCTTCGTGCACCCATGGCTTAATGGTGGAATCCATGAAATGCTGCAAAATGACTGAAAGGTCGGTAGGTTCAGGGTTTCCGGTTACAGGGGTAATAACCGTTGTCACAGCATCAGTAAAGATTATCGGTGTGTGGCCTGCAGATAATGATGGAGGTATCTGTTGTGCAGCAGGACTTCCGATCATCATCGACGTATCTCTGATCGTTGAGGACAGGTAAAGTGCACCTGTTGTGTGCGGTGGTGTGAGCAGTGTATGTGTCCTAGAAAAAGTGGAAAATGTTGGGAGGGTGGAACCTAGACTCAATGTGGTTGAAGGAGGGGTAGTGGTCTGGGGCGGAAGACCACAAAGAATGTCCTCAACTGCGTCGTAAGGAGGCAGTGAGGTGGGTATAATGTCCCCTATTTGTGAAACTACTACCTGTTGGGAGGCAGCAGAGTGGTCGGGTGGGGCTTGTGCATGCGCAGTTGGGCTAGATGCTGCGTCTTCTACTCGGAAACTGAAAATATCAGTCTCTGCACCTATGGGGTTGGCCCGGTTTATAGTGTCTAGGTCGGAGCAACTGTCATAAAGGGCTATTTCTTCAGCCAAGTTGCTTGCTGTTTGCACTCTTTGCATAGGAATTGATGATTATGAGGGGTTGTCATGACGTACCTTGGAGCGAGTCTCACTGATGATGTTTCCTCGAGTGTCCTTGATTTGGTGAGACTGCTCTTGTGTTGTAGCCCGAGAAAGCCTGATAATGAGTCGTCCTTTCTTTGTGGGGGCTTTCTCGACTTTCTTGGCATTAGCATTTGCGTCATCCTCATCATCGTTGTTATTCTCTCCAGCCATGCTCCCGGAGCCCTCATCGTCAGCGTGTTGTGATCTGGCTGCGCTTGACGAATCATTGGCGTTCTCCTCAGCACCTTGGGGGTGGCCCTCAGCAGACGTAGTCTGATCATCATGGGGCTGACTTGCCACTGGTCTCTGTGGCCGGGTTGAACTCTCAGGACCCTCACTTACTCTCGGCTGACTCCCTGGGGTAGGCTCAGGGGGGTTAATCTCAGCCATAGGGGTTAATCTGTAGCGTACGACGTGTGGATCATTGCTGCCAGCTAACAGGAGGAGAGGAACAGGAATAGGTAAAGGTACCAGTGTGCGTACCTCTGGCATTTTCTTCAAATATTGGAGAGCTGGAGTGCTGACATTCTCAGATGATTTGCGCCTTTGAATAGTTGGAATTGTTCTGCAGAAGTGTCGCACCAGCAGTGAAAACCATCTCATGTATGGCAGATGTTTGATCAGATCAGTGTCGAATTTTCTTCTTCTCATCTCCAGAAAGTCACCCCAAATTAGTGAGGTGAAGTCATAGTTCTTCATGAATGCGACCCCATGGAAGATGTATACAAGGTAAGCGCTGCATTTGTCGAAGCCACTGTGCTTGGATGTGCAGCACTTGTTCAGTGTAGCCAACAATGTTCTCCATGGTCTGGGTAGCCGTCCTGGTTTGATAGCAGACATCAGTCGGAGGGGTTCAGCGTGTCCTAGTTTGATCATGTCTTCAAATATTTCCGCTTCTGAGGCCAACGCATCATAGTGTTCATCCTCCGGGATCTGTAGCACCTGTTGGACTAGCTCCTTTGTGATTGTGACTCTGGTGTTGCAGATGGTTGCCGCCAGTACGTCATCAATTGGTTTGCCAGCCTCATCTATGTCCTTGTCAAGTGTTCCCCAGAATTGTTGGAGATACACCTGAGGGACTTCAGCATTTTCGTTCAGTGCCTTCCACAATTTGTGGCCTTTGAGAATTGAGACGACCACATTGTCTTGGCAAGAGAACACTTCGGGGTCCAACTGTGAGTTGTCTCCTTAAGCGGGATCCATTGTTCCCTGGCATAAATCCTGTTGATTGGAGTGTTGGCAGCCATTTCAATATGAAAATGATAAACAGATTAGAGTATTTGATCAAAAATGTGCCAAGTCCACAACTTATTTCTCACTTGGGCCCTTTAATGTTTTTGTTTTGTTTTTTTTTTGTTTTTTTTTTAAAAGTGGGGCCCAATTTAAGAATGGTTATTGGTCTTGGTCAGAGCTGGGCTTGGACTTGGTTTATTTTGGCCCATATGGAGATTTCCACTAAGGGTTTGGAACTGGGCTGTCTCGGTTTCACTTAATAGCGCAGCCCAAAGGATTGGGCAGGTCTATGGATCACGCAGGGGGTTTAGATCGCGCAGGGGGTGATCGCGCAAGCCCGGAGGATCGAGCAAGGGGGAAATCGCGCAGCCCTTTCTGATCGCGCAAGTGCCCCATATCGCGCAAGGCTAGTAGATCGCGCAGGGAGTTCCAATCGCGCAGGTATGCCAGATCGCGCAAGTCATGACTTCGCGCAAGTCTGACAAATCGCGCAATCGGCAAATCTCGCAACCCAGCAGATGGAGCAACCCTCAGATCTTGCAGAGAACGAAATAGCTCAAGAGCTAAATGGCGCAATCCCTGTTCGCGCAAGTAGTCGAACCGCGCAACCCCAGTTCACGCAGGAAGGGTTTCGCGCAAGTCTGTAATAGCGCACCCTCGGATACCTGTTCATCGTCTTTGTGGAATACCTGTGAAACACTTCATGATAGCAAGAAGGGATGGAGCTTTTACCAATGGATGAGCGAAAACGAGAGAGAGGGAGACGAGAGCTCCGAGGGAGTGCAAGCGTTTCGCGCAAAGAAGAATGGGGGGAGAGTTGGCGTTCTTTGAGTTTAAATAGGCCCTGGAGATTTTTCAAAGTGTAACGGGCCCAAATCAGTCAGATTTCAAATTAAAAATACTACCCCTCAACACTTGCTTCCCTTTAAGAATGAAAATTTTGGCAAACTCCCCCTCAATTTATGAACAGTTTAGAAAAGCTCCCCCTCGATTAATGCATTGATAAAAAATGATGCATGAAAGAAAAATGAGATGCATGATGAAGAAAAAAAATAAAAATGCAAATTTTGAAAAATGTTTAAAGTGAATGAAGAATATGAAAGCACACGCACACACCCAGTTCAGATGTTACTTAGTCGTTCAGGTTCAGCATCCCCAGCTTAGAGATCAGAAAATTGAATCTCTTTTCATCCAGGGCCTTTGTGAAGATATCAGCCAGTTGCAATTTCGTAGACACAAAGTACATGTCCACGGTGCCTTTCTCAACATGATCCTTGATAAAATGATATCTGAGGTCAATATGCTTCGTCCGGGAATGATGGACAGGATTGCACGTGATGGCTATTGCACTCTGAGAGTCGCTGTAGATCTGGATGTGTGAGAATGTGAACCCGTAGTCTTTCAGCTGGGTCCTCATCCATAATATCTGTGAGCAACAACTAGCAGCCGCGACATATTCTGCCTCAGCTGTAGAAGTAGACACACAATTCTGCTTTTTGGAGGACCAGCATACCAACTTATCACCAAGAAATTGAGCACCGCCAGATGTACTCTTTCTGTCCAGTTTGCAACCCGCGAAATCAGCATCTGAGTATCCAACAAGGTAAAAGCCTGATTCCTTGGGATACCAAAGGCCCAGATTGACTGTTCCTTTGAGATATCTCAATATTCTTCCAACAGCATTCAGATGTGATTCCTTCGGATTTGCTTGAAAGCGGGCACATAGGCAGGTTGCAAAGACAATATCTGGTCTGCTAGATGTGAGGTACAGCAAGGACCCTATGATAGCCCGATAATTTGTAGCATCGACTGGTTTCCCGGCAGGGTCAGAGTCAAGCTTTTGTGAGGGAGACATAGGGGTTTTCATCGTTGACTTGTTGTCCATTTTGAAGCGCTTGAGCATATCGTGGATGTACTTGGACTGATTGATGAATATTCTGTCTGGCATTTGCTTGATCTGAAGCCCTAGAAAGAAGTTCAACTCTCCCATCATACTCATCTCGAACTTGGTGTGCATCAGGTTGCTGAACTTTTTACAGAAATTTGGATTCGACGAGGCAAAGATGATGTCGTCAACATAAATTTGTATCAGCATGATGTCACCCTTGTGCCTTTTGATGAAGAGAGTTAGATCTATCTTTCCCTTCGAGAAGCCTGATTCAACAAGAAAATCTGACAATGCTTCATACCAAGCTCTCGGTGCCTGTTTCAGACCATACAGGGCTTTTCTCAGCTTATATACATGATTGGGGCGTTCAGGATCAACAAAGCCGTCAGGTTGTGCGACATAGACTTCTTCTTTCAGATCTCCATTCAGAAATGTCGTCTTTACATCCATCTGATACACTGTGAAACTCTTGTGTGCGGCATATGCCAGAAACAGTCTGATGGCCTCAATCCTCGCCACTGGTGCAAAGGTCTCATCATAGTCAATTCCTTCTTGTTGATTGTAACCTTTTGCAACCAGGCGGGCCTTGTTTCTTACGATCACACCTTGTTCGTCTTTCTTATTCTTGAAGACCCATTTGGTGCCGATTATGGTTTTCTTGTACGGCCTTGGCACCAGGGTCCACACTTTCAATCTTTCAAACTGCTTCATTTCTTCTTGCATCGCAATCACCCAGTCCGGATCAGCCAATGCTTCAGTCATCTTTGAAGGTTCTTTCTGACTTAGAAAACATGAAAATAAGCATTCATTGATTGATGTCGTTCTGGTTCTGACTCCCTGTGATGGATCTCCAATTATCAGCTCTGGCGGATGTGCTCTCGTCCACTTTCTCTCATGCTGTAGAGGCAGTGGAGTTATGATTGGATGATCAGGGTCAGAATATTCTTGCTCTGGTTGTGCTTCTGGGGTTTCTTGCGTTGCAGCTTCTTCAGGTTGATCATTAACAGGAGTGGTTGGTTCATGTTCAGCTTCATTTTCTGTGTGCTCATCATCATTCTGAGTAGGAGTGTTGGTTTCTTCAGCATTTGGAGCAGGTAACAGGGGGATCTGATAGGTTGTAGCATTTGTAGTTGGTGATGCATGTGGTTGGCTGTAGAAGTGCTCGAATAGAGAGTCCAGAATCACGTGCTCATCCGATCTTGTCACACCTCCCTGTCCTCCTACTCCAGAAGATGATGGAGTTTCATTGTTTGCAGAGGTTAATGGTTCAGTATGAAAATGTTCAGAAGCCAAATCCGCCATTTCATAGAAGCTCACATTGATGCTCTCCATGACGGTTCTTCTGTCTTTCAAGTATACTCTGTACGCCTTAGAATTGGTAGAATACCCAATGAATATCCCTTCATTTTCCTTTGGATCAAGCTTCCCCCTAGCATCCCTGTCATTCATAATGTAGCATTTACAGCCGAAGACGCGGAAGAAGGCAATGTTAGGGAGTCGCTTGAACACAATCTCATAGGGCATCTTGTCAAATCTTTTGTGGATCACCGTCCTGTTCTGTGTAAAGCAAGCCGTGTTGATTGCGTCTGCCCACATGAAGTGAGGAAGCTTTGACTGTATCAGCATTGTTCTGGCTGCTTCCAACAAGATCCTGTTCCGTCTTTCTACAAAACCGTTCTGCTGTGGTGTCTTAGCTGCAGAGAACTGTTGTGTAATCCCCTGAACTTCGTAGAATTCGGTCAGTTCCTCATTTTTGAACTCCGTCCCATTGTCAGTTCTGATGATCTTCACATTCTGCTGTAGATAGTTCTGCATGGTCCTGATGAACGTCATGATTAAATTTGCAGTTTCGTCCTTGGAGCGCAAAAACTTGGTCCATGTGTAGCGTAGTAGTCATCCACAATTACCAAAGTATATTTGCGTCCACTGATGCTATGTACGCGCATCGGACCACACAGATCCATATGTAGTAGCTCCAGGGGTCGAGATGAGGAGGGAAATTGTTTTGACTTGTGTGAAGCTCTCCTCATCTTTCCCAAATGACAGGCAGAACAATGATGGTTGGGGGAGTTCTTCAGAACAGGCAGTCCTTTCACCAACTTCTTTGAGGAGAGGGAACGGATAGCCGGCAGATTCAAGTGTGAGAGACGTTTGTGCCATAGATTGCTTTGCTCTTCAGATGCTTTGGACAGGAGACAGATGGATATGGGGGATCGTACCGATTTGAGATCAATGGTGTAGAGATTGGTTTTCCTCTGACACCTTAATAATGGTGTCCCACCCATATCCATCACACAACATTACCTAGCATGGAATCTCACTTCCATTCCATTGTCACAAAATTGGTCGATGCTAAGCAAGTTGTGCTTCAGTCCCTGCACATACGATATGTTCCTGATTGTGACGCTCTCACAGATGACATCTCCTATCCCAAGTATGGGCGATGAAGCATTGTTCCCAAACCTCACATTTCCTCCAAACCTTTCAGAATAGTTGCTCAGTAGTTCAATCTATCACGTCATGTGTGACGAGCAACCCGAATCAAGATGCCACACATGATTGACCTACAAAACAGATTAGTTTCGCTTAGGTACCCATCGCCAGATGGGTCCTCCCTTATCAACAGTGAGCAATTGTTTCAACTTCTTTTTGATTTGGGATCCTAGGCTAGCAGGTTGAGAAGAATTTTTCATTTTTAATTGTTCTGCTTCAGCCTTAGGAACCCATTTTTGTTTGATTTGTTTGATTTTTGGAGCGAGGGAACTTTCATTAGTCCTGAGTGATTGTTCAGATAAATTGTCTTTCAAGATGGGTTCACGTGATAGCCTTCTCAGATGTTTGACTGAGTGAATCTTGAGAGGATACCTTAAAAATGGCAATTTGACCTCACTCTCAACATTCACCCTATCAAACTTGGGCTTTTTCACAACATTATCAACAATCACAGGTTAACTTGTACTGCATGAAGGATCAGACTCAAAACAACAACTTTTCATTGATTTAATGCAATTCAGAGAGGTACAACTAGTGCAGCGATTCGAGACAGAAATCTTAGAACTAGAAGACTTAGGAGCCGCTCTTCTAGTATAACTAGTAGAAGGCTCACTAATGCTAGAACTAGGGCAAGTGTTCAGATTTATCTTCTGCTTGTAGTACTCAGGGTCTTTCCTCCTCTTAGGCATCCTGCAGTCCTTCATCAGATGTCCAGTCTTCCCACAGTTGAAGCACTTTGGAGCATCCTCAGCAATTCCATTTTCAGAAGATTCAAAAGAGCGTTCTTTCCTTTTGTTGTTGCTGGTTGAAGTTTTGCGGAGCCTGTTGTTTGAGGAGTTCTTCTTTTTCTGCATCTGATTGTTGAACCTTGAGGTAAGAAGGGCAATCTGCTTTTGGAAATCACGCAGCTCATCATCATCAGAATCATCCCAGAAGCCTATGTCACTGTCAGCACTTTCACTTTCTTCAGCTATCATCTTATCCTTCTTGGAACCAGACTTTGAGGGTTTGTCAAGCATTAGGGCAAGTGTGTCAGCAAGTTTGTCCACGACTCCCTTGCCTTTGTCATCCGTCACAGTGGCTACCACAAAGTCAGAAAAATCTTCAGCATACTGGTCAAGTGTATTGTACACGGCATGGATGTCCATCTCATCAAGATCTTTAGTGTGCCTTATCTGTGAACTCAGCTTCTTCCAGTCAGCTCCAAGTGAAGACAGAAATCTCACATTCAGCTCCATGTTCGATTTGTGCACGCCAATCTTCCTCATCTCATTGATCAACTGCAAGAATCTGAGATAGGTATCTTCAAGTGATTCTCCATGCTTGGCTTTGAAAGAGTCATATGCTGTGAAGGTGTTGGCTTTCTTCGCTTTCACACCAATCTCCGTTCCTTGCATAATCTTGAAGATTTCATCTCACATCTCCTTTGCAGTTGACATGCTGTCAATCTGCATGTAGATGTCGTTCGGGATGGCCTGCAACAGATAAGTCTTAGCAAGCAAATCAGCTCGGATTCTGGCTCGGTCCTCATCATCGTATTCATCAACTGTCTTGGGTCTCCATTCTATCTCAACCGGTGGATTGTTCCCATTGTCTCTTTCAACAGCAATGAGTAGCTGGGCAGGGCCATTAGTGATGGAGTCAAGTAGGCCTGAAGATTGGTCCTTGCTCTCAAGAAAATTAAGGAATCTGTTCTTCCAAACATTATACTCTCCTCTTCGTAGAATCGGGGGTCTCGTGTCGTTTCCAATCGACAAAGCATCCATTTTAAATGATCGGGCTGATCAGTTGATTGATTGAGTTCTGTTTTGTTGTTTGGTACTTCAGGCAGTAGATCTTTGCAAGTATGGAATCGCGCAAGTGTTGAAAGATCGCTCAACTTTTAGGATCGCTCAACTTCACAAAAGATCGGTCAACTTTACAAAGATCGCTCAACTTTACAAAGATCGCTCAACTTTACAAAAGATCGCTCAACTTTACAAGAGATCGCTCAACTTTTACAAAGATCGCTCAACTCTCAAAAGATCGCTCAACTTGCTAAAAAATCGCTCAACTTCTAAAAAGATCGCTCAACAAAAAAAAAATCGCTCAAGATTTTGGAGTTGGCTCAAGTTCCAGATCGCGCAAAATGAGGATCGCGCAGGAGCTGTTGTTGCGCAAAGTATGAGATCGCTCAAAAGGCAGGTTGCGCAAAACACGAAATCACGCAGAAGTCTTGCTCGTCCTGTAAAAAGATGGCGCAAGTCCAAGATTGCGCAGGAAGAGTTGCGCGAAGCTCGAGATCGCGCAGGAGGCGTTGCGCGAACCTGTTCTCCTTTTCAGACGAGTTGCGCGAAAGATCAGTATCGCTCAACTTCAGCTTAACCTGTACGCCAACTTTCTGGGTGTGATTTTTCACAGAGTCCTTGCAAGCCTAGAAACACTTTCCTGTAAACATTTTCCTGCAAAAATATCAACAAAAACAGAACAGAAGATCGCTCAAGTGCAAAATCTTCGCCGATGAAGAATCGCGCAAGAGCTTTTTCAGCCTCCAATCAATCGATCAGCTCCGGCTCTGATACCAGATGTTAGGTCCCTGTTTTCTAGTCTAAAATGTATATGTATGGAAGACAGATCTGGGAATGAAGCTTTCCATTGATGGTGAAGGTTTTACAGAATGATGTGAAAACTTAGCGTAAAAACCTTACACGCAAATAGGCACTGCGGCACAGAAAATGTATTGAAAAGCTTAACCTACTCATTCCCTTAAGGCATATTTATAGCCTTCAGGGAAAGGTAGGTTTCACAATGATTGGGCTCTAACATTTAGGAGGCCCATTCCATTTTAGGCAAGAGAGTCTTTTCTAAATAAGGCCTATTCTATCAATAAATAAACTATTACAAAATGGCTAAGTAACATTGATCACAATATAAATGAAAATATCTCTAACAAAAATACATCACAATTCATAACTTTCTATTATCTTTCATACGACACCAATATTGCATATATAGAAATATATAAAAAAAAAAATCACTTTAAAAATACTCCGGGGTATCTATTTTTAAAGTGCTACTCCCTCCGTCTCATTTAAGGGTTCCCGTCCACTATTCTCTGGTCAACGTGCATTGTTCTTAATCTTTTACTTTATATATCTAACTTTTATCAAGTTTAATTTTTCTTGATCAGGTATTATAAAACTTCTAATGTAGTTTCTGAATATGTAAATTTTATTTACTAAAAATAATTTTATTCATGACAGGGAACAGTTAACTTTGTGGTCAATCAACATCTTAAACCGCGTGGGAACCTTAAAGTGGGACGGAGGGAGTATAACTTTTTTATTTGTACTCTGATTGTTTTCTCCTGGCTGGTTTTCTCCTCTGGCTTACGTTGCACTTGCTACGTCGCTCGCCTGTTGTTTTTTTGCCTAACCACCAATTCAATCGACGGTTCTTTTAACTATATGGTTCAGCTTAACAATATTTTGGGAAATACTTATAACTCGAACTCACTTTAGTAAATAATTTTTTACTTTGCATTATATTGGGAAAGCACTCGATTATTTGTCCACCCTTTCATTTTTAGAAGTTCTTCCTATAAAAGTGCCTAAATTGGATACATACTCATGGAGACAAGGCAGATCCATATGAGAACTCGTCGGAGGGCGGCGGCGACATTAGAGAACACGGCGATGGTTGACGGAGACTTGTTTGAGAGCGGCGCCGAATTAGGCGATGCCAACAGCTGGTAGCGATGGCGGCGGCACAGCAGATGGTGGCAGCCCGGCACCAAATTTGGTGCGGTAGTATGTAAACTGCATTTGTGTAAAGTAATGTCTTTTTTTTATATTTTTGTATTTTTTTATACCCCGTATTAGTTAATAAATAAACTAGACTTTCATTAAAGGTACTTTTGTCTACTCATTTATGTTTACTCCTACACAACATTAAGGTCTTATTTTTACACTTTTGTCATGTTTTATCCTAGATAGGTATTTACTTCTATAAAATAACCAATTGATTACTAACACCGTTCAATTTGTCAGATATATTTTTATTGATTTTTGTTTCAATCACACCTGGAAACAATGTTAGATTGAGAGTAGATGTTGGCAAATATATGGTGTCATTGCTTATATGTATTGGCCTTTTAAAAAAACTAGTGTCGTTCTCTAAAATTTCAATTTATATTTGTATAAACATATAATACATGCATGCATGCATATATACGTACATACATAGATACACACATAGAGAAATATACAGAAATGCTCAGGTCCAACTGTTCAGACAGGAGTCGCCGTTCGAATGCCGCCGTTTGGGGCGGTTCCCACTGGGATTTTTTGATAAGATGTTTTGAACATGTTCCTCATCAAGTCTAGTTTATCCACAAAAAATTTCAGCTCAACATTTGATTGGGAAGGCAGTCTAATAATTTTTTGAAGTTGACTACGTTTTCTATGTATAATTTGACGAAGTTAACTTTCATTTGACTACCTTCTCGATCGGATTTTGAGCTTAAAGTTTTTGTGGATAAACTAGACTTGATGAGAAACATGCTAAAAAAACTCATCAAAAATTTCCACCGGAATTCGCTCCAAATGGTGGCGTTCGGACGGCGGATTATGTCCATCCTACTAGGCATGATCATTCCTTTGTGTGTGTGTGTATAACTCTTTTCAGTTGTGTCAATTCACACCACAGTTTTATGCCTGGCACCACCCCTGGATTTACCCTATGATCAGGAAGTGCATGGACACCAACACTGGGGTGACCCAAAACAAAAACATTTGTCCCATCCAGTATGGTATTCTATATTTTTATTTTTCCTGTAACATCAAGAAGATATCTTCAAACCAGAACAAGTTATTTTCATTATTTGATAAAAGCTTATGAACTCCACCATGATGTCATAGTTGGTATCATGCATGTTTCAAGGATAAAGGGGGTGTTGTGGCATGCGTGTGACGGCCAACAATATCACTTTGTCACATCACATGTCATGAATCGAACAGTGAGTATCGCTACATCTGGATCGTGGCCCGTGAGCAAAACGTAATCCCTCTGTCTAGGGGTGGTGTCAAATATGCAAAGGCGTGCTACACTTCATAGGCCTCCGTATGGTGATAATAACGCTAAGGTTGCTAGGTCATGTCGTCCGAAAGTCGGATTTTTGGTAGACCGGGTTCGGTCTGGGTTCGGGTTGGGCCAGTTAAAGCCCGAATGTGAAATCATATCATTGTCTTTTCTATATTTTAAAACCTGTTTTTAAATAAAATTAATCAAAAACACAAATCGCAAATGATAACACAAATATTAGTCCTTAAAATCACCAACAATTCAAATCCAAAGAAAATAATTATCTTAATATTTTGTTTAGGATGCATATAAATAAATAATATAGGTTTTCTAATAGTATTACGAGACAAAACTTATGGATAAAAAAGTGACTAAAGTTACTATAAATATATTTCCATGATCATTATGATAAACAAATTGAACTTATTTTTAGTCACTAAAAGTTACTAGGTCACGTTTTCATCCACCATGATTATAATCATATATTAGGAATTATTTATATATTATATTTGTATATTATATTGATATTTATTTTATATTTTTTTTTATGATATTTATTTTATATTAAAACTAATTGTTTCGGGTTTTTATCGGTCCAGGCCGGATTATAGATTTTAGGGCCCGCTCATGAGCCCGAATTTTTGGGTCCGGTCCGGGTTTTTTTATTTGATCCGATTAAATAGAAAAAACCCGGACCAGAAATATCATTTGGGACGGGCTAGGGTCGGTTTCTGGGTTTTGGTTTGGTTTTTCCCACCCCTATTCGGAGGGGAGAAGAATAGAAATGGAGTAGGCATTATTGTGGAGCATGCTTATGTTGAGTGTAATGGAAGCCTTTAGAAAGAACATCGCATCATGAGCATTAAATTGGCAATAGGAGATCAGATCATGTTCGTGGTAAGGGCATATACACCAGAAGTGGGATTAACCATCTATCACTCAACAACTTTGGGAGTATCTTGAGAAAGTAGTGTGACGGGTGTCAAGGGAAGAGAAGCAGGTCATAGGAGGTCACCTCAACATGCATGTGGGGCCAACTCGTGATGGATTTGGGAGTATCCATGACAGACATGATTTTGGCATTAGAAATGAATCGTGGAAGAACATTCTGAATTTTCTCGACATATGAGTTAACTGTAATGAACATTTGGTTCAAGAAAAGAGAATCTCACCTTATGACCTATAGAAGTGGAGCTAATAGTACTCAAATTGGCTACTTATTTGTACGGAAGACTTGGAAAACTAGCTTGTAAAAGTTATAACAAGTGAAAGTGTCGTTACTCAACATATTTTGCTTGTTTTCAAGGCAAGAAGAGAAGATACGTTAAGCGACAGGTGGAGCTAAAGATAAAGTAATGAAGGATCAAGGATATGGGGGGACTCTAACAAAGCTTTTCACACCAAATATTGAAATAGATGTACGGTGTATTGATGAAATTTTGCACACAGAATATATCTTACTTATTGATAATGACACCCATGTGGATGAATTGCCAATTGTGTATTAAATTATTATCAAGTGACTCGGTGACTCCTATTTTAGAGTTATGTCTTTTGTAGTTGCCTAAAATAGACGAAGTACTATGTAATTTTATCAATGTAGTTTATTAATTGAGGAAGTCCTAAACAGAACTAAATGAAATTTAATTTCAAGAATATGAGTATAACTTTAATTTTTTTTAAATAGAACTACCTTTTCAATCATGTCCTTGCTTTGTTTTAATAAATTCGACCATTAACTAGTGAAGGAGATACTCAGAGAATCTAAGGGCACATCTTGCTGGAATGATTAGGTGAAACAAGAAATAAGGACAAAAACGGAATGTTACAAAAAGTTGGACAAAAGTTAGAGCGATGAGAACATAGAGTACAAAGAGGCTAAAAGAAAAGCAACGAAAATCGTAAAAGAAACAAGAGGTAAAGTGCACAAGGAGTTGTATGTAAAACTACACTCCAAAGGAGGAAAAGATATTCACAAACTTGTTCGTCTTCGTGATTGTACGACCCAAGATATTAGTGCGCGAAGTTGTCGATCAAAGAGTACTAATAAATGACAAGTAAATAAAAGAGAGGTTAATGTCATACTTTGATTAGTGATGGACTCGGGTCGGGCCACCCGGCCCGGAACCAGCCCAGAACCGGTATTGTTTGGGCTCGGCCCGGCCCAGCCCAGAACCCGGTCATAAGACCGGTTCGGGCCCCGAACCGGGATTAAAAGGGGGTGGGCTCGGGCGGTCGGGCCTCCTCAAAGTGGAACTGGCCCGGGCCTATTTCTTTTTTTTTTTTCAATTCTTTTGGTTTCTCCCGGGTTGGGGTAGGTGTTTGGCGGGGGGTGGGGGGGGGGCGGGAAGGGGGGGGGGGGGTCGGGGGTTAATTAGAAAAGCTAAAGAAAATATAAAAAAAAAACATGAACCAAACCGGACCGGCCCGGAACCGCTACCTACCCGGGCCGGTTCCGGTTCTCCCTTCCCGAAAAAAAAGCCCGGCCGGGCGCAGGCTCAAACCGGCCCGGCCCGGCCCAGGTCCATCACTAACTTTGATACCTTGTTCAAAGGAAATAAAGTGCAACGTATTGATGATTTAACTATACGAGATTGTATGTTAAATCGAGATTTGGGGAGAATCATCCAAACGACAAATGGGTATAATTATATACAGGGAAAAGGGGCAAATTAGCCACTATGGTAAGGTTACAAGTGCAAATAGAACACTAACCTTTTTTTAGGTGCAAATAACATTAAATTAAATACTCAAGTGGCATTCTAGCCACCCACTAACAGAAACAAACGGATTACAAACGGAGCTGGAGCTTGGATCATTGCCCGAAATTCTCTCTTAAGCAACCATTGACCGATCCTAGCTGCCTTCCAGAAAAATAAACTAAAAACAGTTTTCCACTCAAGATTTGCTGGGAACTCCATCAGTTCAATCGTGAGGCCGAGAAGAAAGACGGAGCTCGCCCGGTGTCCCCCCCCCCCCCCACCTGCCGCCTTCCGACTGGTAAGAGCAGGAAGCCTTTAATTTCAAATGACAACTGGTTATTCCTGCTGCGAGGGAGTTGCACGAAATTCCAAGTTGAGGAAGAACAAACGATTTGAAACTAGGTACGTACTTGCACAAATCCCTCCAGGTACGAAAATTCCAAGTTGGGCACAATGAATTGTTCATCTGGTTTCACTATACAGAGTACAGACACAGATGATTTTTTTGTAATATTGACTCCTCCATGTATGTCTCTATTTATAAAAGGTCTTCTTGGTGAATTCTTAGTGATTGATTACCTAAAAGCATGATAAATTAAGCTCAATTTTGGATGAAAATATAGGTTAAACTCCAATTTCCCCAAAAACAATTAAAAATTAGTAATTTGTTAAAATATACTTTCCTCCAATTTTTGTATACTTTCTGTTCTCCGATTTTACTAGGTCTCTACTTTTGCTATCTTGCTATTTGTGATTTCACATGTTAGTCTATTCACACAAGGCACTCATCTTTTTAGGTTAAAATGTGAAAATTATAAAGGATAATAGTTAAACTGAAAACGGATTTATTGTTGCTAGCTTGAAAGTGGAGATGATCTATAGCAGACTGGAATGGAAGCTTTTGGTGACAAAGTTGCACAATTTGTTGCATGAGTTGGCCTTTCACTTCTTCCCTAATAAATCTTTAGTAATGCAATCCAGAAATATTGTCTGCTATGGCTACTTTGAGTTGAATTTCTTGGAGTCCTGTTAGGCTTTCACCAACTAGTTTTTATTTGGCCATATTGAAGTTGTACTTAGCTGCGTGTTAGCTATTTTGCCCCTCTTTGAAGCAATGAAATGGAATTGCAACGAAAAAAGTTAAACTAAAAAAGGAAGTTAGAAGCCTTTGGTGCCAAAATCAGTTACTTAATTTAGCTAAAGTTCAGAAACATCAACGATCAAACTAACGGTGAAAATCCAACTCAACTTACAACAGAAAGAT